TGTTGTTATGAGAAAAACTATGCTGTTATGAAATTAAACTATGCTGTTATGAAAGTAAACAGCTGTTAAGTGAAACTTTTCAATTCTAAGAACTGAACTGAAATGGTTTTTACAAAATACATGTATTTAATCTGACTATAACGGTACGGTAACCACGAACAATTTCTTTCAACAACACTCTGTCTGACAATACACCTCGCACTTACATTGACCGCACACTACTTGCTGACAATCTTACTTACGCAGATTGGGGAACCGTTCTGAACTGTTTCGATGCTACTTTTTCCTGAGCGTTTTAACGACATTATTTCAGTGTCTAATGAAATCTCGAGAAAATTATTAAATGTTAATACAAGTTTCAAAAAGATAAAACTTTGGAACGCTAGATCTCGTTCAGCAAATCCGTGAGAGAGACAAACTTAGCGATACTTTAAATAAAAACCTTTAACCTTTAACTTAAGAATTCATTTTATAGATGTCAGAAGGAGTAGCAACTGAGCCTCCCAGCCCATGTAGGTTAATTTCCCGAACATTGCATTCTGTAAACCCCATTATACTGTGTCATTATTTTTTTTTATGCTGTGCAATAGTAATTTAGATGTTTTGTTTCTCTGCAGTACACGTTTTTGGAAAAAAGGATTATTTTGATTTGATTTGATTCAGTGTATTTTATGTAAATAGTATCTAAACATTTAAAATTATAGGCCAGTATTGAAGAAATTGTGTTACGAATTCAAGTTTTAAGATTTAATTCAACTTTGTAGTCAAACTGTGTCAACATATAATCTCCTGAGTCATTAGTTGATGCCATTAGAGAGGAGCTGTAAGTCACGACTCAGCGTTGTCCGGCGTCTGTTATGACAAAACAAGAAATGTGAGCTAATAGTAGCTTAATTACCTGAAAAATGTTCGTTCGAAAGCACTTTTTATTACTCAAGGTTTTGGTTTTTATTTGTAGTTAATGCATCTAAGATGATTGTTTCATCTAGTTATATAACGAGTGGTATTAATTAAGTTTAAAGCGAATGGATTATCCACTACCGTCAAAGCAATCCTGCAAACCAAACGAAATCTTAGTTAGGCTGTCAAATTAATGTAATAAAGATTCTTTGTATTAAAGCTGCAATAACCCCTACATTAACTGTTAAAGCATTCTGTGTTTTGTTGTACCATTTGGTTTAGAGTTTAAAAGGACCATTACGTACTGAATTTTAATTATGTACGAGCCGTTTTTCTGAAATTCTTATTTCCCTTATTAACCCACAATTAAAATCCAACCTAAAATATGATAATATTTCTGGTGATACCGTAGTATGAGGGTACTATAATGTACCCTCATATAAAATTTCAGCAAAATCGGACAAACTGACACTCACACAAACAGACATAACTTCGAAAAACACTTTTTTTAAGGGGAACCAAAAACGGATTTTTTACCCAAAACTATAATACTCAACTAAACTTTCAACAAAAACGATACTTTTTCTTTATAATATGAATAGGCGGGGAAATAAAACTGTTTTTATGTTCAGGTTTAGTCCTAAGTGCATCATTATTACTGTATATTTATGTATGTATAAATAATATTACCTCAGTAATTATATTAGCTGCTACGGGTACTTAAAGAAAGTTTTTATACTAAAACCGTTAAATAAAACTAAGACATTTGTAAATTGTTTGAAATGAATCCACTGGACTAAATAATCATTTTACTTAGCTTGACAACCTTTTGGGATAGAAATAAATTGGTTTATAGCTAAAATCGAGAGATGAAGTAGGCTAGATTATTTACATTTTCGGGGGTAAAGTAGAATTTGATCCAAGTTAATGTACTATCCCTTGATACTATGAATCCCAATGTTTGACTAAATTTTCCATTTCCTGAACAATATTTTGCCAATAGCAGTAACTTCTAGCCAGATGTTTTATTTTCGTCATGCCCATAATTAATAACCAGCATGCAACTTGTTTTCTTAAATTTAAAGGTACAAATATTCTATTCCCTCTGAACACACAGCCTTCCATTAAGCAAAACTCATTCTCATTTAATCCAAGTATAACACGAATTGTGTGTGGTATTTTTTATTAGTAGGTTGTTTGTTTTTATATAACATACAACTAAAAAAACACAATTAGATAGAAGGGATGGTAAAATACAAGGAAAGTTCGTAAAGAAAATCAGTTAAGGGCCATTAGAGAAGACGTTGTTAATGTTACAATCCCCCCCACCCTCTGTTAACGATGGGACCACCGTGTTTTTTTGCTCTGTTATAAATAAAGAACCTGTTGTATAAGGATAACCAAGAAAATATCTTTTAAACTGATTGAAATAGCGATATTTAATTATTAATTGAATTTTCATGAGTTGATTCTACATAGCAAAACTAAGAAAATTATTTAAAATAAGAATAATTTGCCTATAGTATTAGGTTAAATTGAATGTAGTAGTAAGTACGTATGAATAAAAATCAGAAGGGTAGTTGTACAACAGTTAAAACCTAAAGCTTTTTAGCACCTCTGATTTTTATAATTTTTTAGCTAAATATTTTATCTTTAGCAAGATCTCCTTAAGGAGTAAAAGCAGAACGCAATGGTGAATGGACTGGTAAATATGGTGAAGGTAAAAGGAAAGTATTGAATTCCACTTGAAAACCACCGATAAAAGCAGCACAACTGGACCCAATGGCTCTGTCAATTCTACCTACCATTTGGAAATTCATTCAATATATATATATAAAAATTTAAATATACAGGGTGATTGATATAAGTGTGCCAGCCGTTTTATTCGAAAACCATAAGAGATATCAAAAAAAGTTAAAAGGTAAGTGCCTTGGATTTTTTATTTAAAAAATTATAGTCAAGCCAAAAAAAATATTTTAGCCGCCATTTTTCCACTATGGCCGCCAACTTTGATTTTTCTTATGGAACACCCTGTATTTCATGATGTATTCTGGTAGAAAATGTAATTTTAAGACGATTTTATTCTTGTAATTATTTTCATAAACCTAACCGTTTCAAAGATAATAATGGTTTAAGTTGTGAAATTTTGAATGGGTTTAGAATAAAACAGCTGGCATGCTTGCTTAGGCCTTTATCGAAACTCTTTCTCATGCAGAAATTTCAAAACTTAACCATTATTATCTTTGAAACGGTTAGGTTTATGAAAAAAAATACAAGAATAAAATCGTCTTAAAATTACATTTTCTACCAGAATACATCATAAAATACAGGGTGTTCCATAAGAAAAATCAAAGTTGGCGGCCATATTGAAAAATGGTGGCTAAAATAATTTTTTTGACTTGACCACCATTTTTTTAATAAAAAATCCAAGGCACTTACCATTTAACTTTTTTTGATATCTCTTATAGTTTTCGAATAAAACGGCTGGCACACTTATATCAATCACCCTGTATAATATATTATAATATCCTTTCAGTTGGTGATCCAATACTATTACAATACATATACATATTAGTGGTTTACATATTCCTATTTACTTTAGTCTGTGCAAAACTTGTTAAAAGTAATATTTGAGTATTACATTATGCAACATTTTATTAATTGTTAATTTAGCCATAAATAAATGAGGTTTTAGCTACTGAAATTACGAAAAATAGCTCTGCCAGTTTAGCACAGTAGTTAAAGCACAGTTTTATTAATATTAAATTTATTATTGTTTGTTTAAGCGTTACATAGGTCGTGCTGAATTAACTTTGACCTGCTATGGTTGTTATGGGTTTGTCTAAGATAACTAAACACCACAACACATGCGCACACTGGCTCACTATACACGTTTGTAAAAAAGAGGATGAGGGAGGTGCTATACGAGAAGATGCTATACGTGGCTTATCAAAACCGTATAAAATATAGTTAGTTGTTGGATCCTTGAGATAAGAGTTTGTCTATATGTTAATCGGAAACGTAAGCTATCATCATACCAAATTTCAGCTCAATCGGACCAGTAGCCCACTGGGGAAGGAATTAGTGCGCTGCCTGCAGTGCCCTCGGTCAGCAATTAATTCTACCGAATTTGTAGACTTTCATCTAAAAAAATTGAAGAAAAACTTTGGTAATAAATAAATAATTCTTTTGCCATTTTGTTCAGCACAAAATTGTCAAGCAAAATAATATAATTAGATAATCAAAGTGTAAAATGTAAAAAACTAAAAAAAATTATAAAAAATAAATTTTTTAAAATATTTGTTTTTATGTGAACTATATTTACAAATTCCAAGATTAATCCAGACACCAAATGACACTATTATCATTAAGTTAAATTGATTCCCTACGTAGGAAAATCAACAGTTGTTTACTTTTATAAGTAATAATATAAACAAAAGTGTTTTTGTTTTACCTTACCACAGCTGATTTTGGGTGATATCTGGTTTCCATGGAAACGCAGCCTCTGTTATTTAAAAAAAATATTAAAAATACACAAAACTAGAAGTAAAATATTTATAAACATCATAAAATTAAAAAAATAAACCAGCTATGCTCGTAAGTCGGCGCCATTGGGTTTTGTAATGGAAGATCAAACAAACACACAACGTTTCTTATTTATAATATTATAGTATGATTTTAAATCTATCTTTTATGTTTTTCGATATGGGTTTTACGTTGGTATTCTTTTACGTTTCTTGTGGGGTAAGTAGCATTTTACTATCTTAAGTTGCCATTTTATTATAACTAGTAATATTAACTGATCAATAGATACACAAAATTTACGGTACTTATAAAAGTGTTTAAATTGTTTTGTGTTATTTTTTAACATACACATGATTATTGTAAACCCAATACAGTCAGGGTTATAAACCGTATTCTCAAGTTACTTTGAAATAAAATGATAAAGATTAAGTCCTTAAAACAACGAACTCTTTTCGTTCATTTTTACAGTTCAACTTGATTTTAACTAAACTGAACATGGTTAGTTATAGGACGAGTGTTGGAGATAATAGGTGTTCTGCTGTTGACACACTGGTATTATGTAACAAAGCATTTAACATTGGACGAGCAGTTCAGTAGTGAATAGGTATTATTGAACCATGCTCCGATTTGAAATTTTTATCTTCACTTTCATATGTCAGGTAATAAATTATTTGAATCAAATTTCCTTGGCATCCTAAGGCATTAAACTAAATTCTAAAAAGCATAGCATACAAATTCATATTTAGACATTAATTCTATTATATATATAAGAATACTTTGATGCAAGTCTGTCCAAAATCCGCAAAATTCTGAATAATACACTGTTAACAATGATACACTAATACTGTGTGTGTAATAATACTGTTGAATAACTGTGCCTTCATTTTATAAGACATTTTTTACGAGCAGTTTATATTCTGGGTAAATGTTTTAACAATAGCTATTGGTGTTCGTTATTACAGTACAAAGATACTTGGACTAATTGATGCATGTATCTGTTCGTCTATCGACAAGGCTGCGGGGTTTTCTATTTAGATTTGATATTGTTCCCTCCTCGTAAACTTAGGTTTAACACCTAACATTTTAGGAGTATGAGTAACAATTGTTAATTAAGTTTTACTCATTCTCATCTCATTAAAGCCCATCGGCTTTAGCGTTTTTAAAGAATTTCAAGTATGAAAGTTACAAAATGCCGAGTAGTTTAAAGGTAATATGGTCCATCAATAACTTTTATTTTCACAGAATAGAAAACAAAATTTTGTATTTTAATATATGAGCATGTCTTTAAAATGTCTACCTTTATTTTTTGTGTTTTTTATTCAGAGAACTAAGACTAGTCACAAATTTATGGGAAGCTATTTGATTTATTTATAGTATTTTAGGAGTATTTGTTATTTTGAAAATGAAAAAGTATAGCCAGACTGACTCTCTCACTTTTTTCTTAATTTACTCTATTACAAATATCAGGTTCTAAATAGTCTTAATCCCTCCCAACCAACCCCTATATATTAGTTGGATACAAAATTTTGTGATTATTTTGTAGGGAAATAAATAATTACTCACATTCAAGCAATAAAGGAAATTGTTGCTAAAGTGTAAAAAGTACCTCGACCAGGATTGCGTTAATGGATGTTTGACTATTTATTAAACTGTATCATATTTATACATGCAATCACTATATTATATTATAGTATTCATCGATTTACCTAAACTGATTAAATCATCAACTAAGTTGTTATGGATTGACTCTCCTAAAAAACTAAACTCTGCACACCTTTAAGACATAAAGTGGCATAAAAGGTTTGCACGACACCGCTATTGAGGTGTTTTGGGAGCAGCTCAATAATTTCGAAACAAACACCTATAGAGTGACATTAAATTCAAATGGTATATATCTAAAGAAGCGTAGAACAGAACTAATTTTTCAAACCTATTGTAAATGGTGATAGTTTTAAATATATATCAGCTTAAGAGATTTCAATTTAAAGTAAGCATCGAAAAAAGTCAGTTTTACACTTATACCTAAAATACAGTTTTGCTATCGCAGGATTACCTAGGATCCCAAATGGGAGATTTTTTTAGCAGGTCAATAATCCTAAATGTAAGATCCATCGACACATTTTATAGTTCTTTATAAAAGAAGAATATCAGTCAAAGCCAGAAATCTCTGTTATAACCCATTACACAACGGTAGTCTATTTGAGTTTTAGTCAGCCTAAAAGAATCAATTTCTAACGAGGTTTTGAAACTGCTATGCTTTTTCTAATAGCCATTAAGTCATACTGAGTAGAAGTAGGTGTATCTATTTATCACTAATATTCCTTATAATTCTTTTTTTCGATGGAGCATTACTTGTATTTTTTATTTTTCTAAAAAAACTACGGAAATTGGGTCCCAGGAAAAATGTTACACCGATCAATAAGTGATATATTATGTCATATAAAAAGGTGCAGAGTTTAGTTGTTAAGATGAAACCCATAAACAAGTTAAGATGTATTTATACTTTTTTCTAACCCTGTATATCAATAGTGCTATGGAAAACTTGGTAAAATATAACTCAATAACTTAGGCTATTATGGATTATGGGGATGTATTGACAAAGGTAAAATAAGTACATATAAATAAATAAATATTTATGTGTTAATACTTTTGTTAATTGTTACCTTCCAATAAATAGGGACTATCAAATTTTCCTTATTTTTTATTGAAACTTTAGTCCACTTATAACTATTTATAATATTAACAGTTGGATTTTATTTTAGATTCTCATCATCACAGAATGTGCTCCAGAGGTTACAACGCCGACAGGTCTGAAATCTTTTATAGAACAGCAAAACACCTAAAGATATTATAGCTATTTAATAATGACACACTTCATGAAGTCAGTTTTTTATTTAATCCGTGGCCTTGTTTCATTTAGCATTTAAAAACTTCTATTTCATGTGTTAAGTTTATCTTTACGTGAAAGAACCTATACCATGTTTTATGGAAGTTTACCAATCACTTATTTAGATTTATAAACCTAGGTATATGTTCTAAAATTAAAAAATAACGAGGTGTTGGCCCGTCCTACGTACAGGAATCGAGTGGTCAATTACAACTGAATATAATTTATATTAGAATAGTTAGTTTACACGCATAAAGAGACATTGTGGCAGTTTAAATAGGGAAAATCATCTTGTAAACAAACTTCACGTCACCACCTATTTCTTTCATCCGATTATAGTTTGTAAGGTCAGATTTTTATACATTTACGTAGAATCTTCCAAAGAGTTGACTGTGTAAAAAAAGCCCTTTGCTGCATTTGATAGATAATTCCTTTGGACTACGGATAAAACTTTCCCTCGCCTGCTCTGCAGCTTCATTTAATTTAATTGCTTTTCATTTAATTGCTCAATGACGGCCTTCTAGTCAATTTATTCACTAATGCAGCGATTTCTCTTAAAAATCACGTTCACTTGCAAATATAGTGGTTACTAGAGGATTATCATTAAACCCATTTCTATAGTGTTGTTGCACACTAACAACAGATTGATTAATGTAATAATCCAACAGGCAAAAAGCTTGTCTTCAAATTCGGCCATTACACTTACAACAATTGACTTCACAATGCACCCAAACTTTGACTAACTAAATGAAAATTTGAGTTTTTCTTGCCTATTGGTAGCAACTAAAATTGTCTTACAACCAAATAACTAAATAATAGTTACAATCATAATCAGGAAGATAATTTGTAATAACTCGGTTTATATGATTATTTATAATTCAGAGTTTGTTGGTATTATTCAGGTTTAGTTCTGGTGTAAGTTAATAATATACAAATCAATTTCAACCTTTGAAACATGCTTCAAAGAATTCGCAAAAATATCGAATTGCGTTCATATTTTAAATTGGCATTTTGAATCAAACGTTTTAACTCTCATTTCATAGTATAATTATTCTTTGTCGTATTGAGAAAATGAGCTAATATTTCTTTTTCAGGATGCGAGCAGTTCAAGAATAATCTGCAACTTGTTGTGGTAAGAATACGTCACTGACGATTCCATGAGACAGGAAAATTATTTCTATAAGATTAAAATGGCTTATCAAAGTACAATAGCATTAATCGTTTCTTAACAATACGCTGCGTTTTTAAAATCGACCATTTTGCCGAAACTCAAATACTACTCAATGGCTTCAAATTGAAAACCTGAAAACGCTTTTAAAGACGCCTGAAAAAGATTTTACAATAGAATGAGAAATATACCTGTAATTAATTAGCAAACTGTGTTCTGTAATGGAATATATATATATATATATATTGAATATTATTAGACATTTCATCCCCATATTAAAGTTTTTGCATGTATTTTCATCAATATCTTCGTAGTTGACGTGATCCCCGACAGAGTGTGCTGATGTTTATAACTGATTTCTGTCGAATGCACGAACAAATCGTACCCAATCATTCTGATGGAACTACTTGCTGTGAGCTATAGCAACTGTTTTGACCGATCAACTAAGACAAATGACAAAATAATTTATAAATAAAAAACCTTTTTAAAACAAAACGTTTTTAAACGCACTAAAAAGTATGAAATAATTTATGAATATGTGGAGAGTATAAATACTTTTAAGATTTAAAACAAAAAACGTGGGGTGCATGCAATAGATAATTTACAATTGTCAATTACATTCACCTGTTGAACTAATGTATTATTATCAACTGCATGCACCCCACGTTTTTTGTTTTAAATCTTAAAAGTATTTATACTCTCCACATATTCATAAATTATTTCATACTTTTTAGTGCGTTTAAAAACGTTTTGTTTTAAAAAGGTTTTTTATTTATAAATTATTTTCTATTTTTTAGTTTTTAATGTGTGTGGATGTTAAATCTATTTCAAGCGTCTATAACAGATTAAGACAGAGGCACGTGGGAAATCTAAGGTTTATTTGAGTTTCTTTTCATAGAATTATGTATTAGATTGAATGTATGGCCTACCTACTAACTATAAATATATCAATCTATTTAATTTATTGTTTACTTTATAGAATCTTACTAATATTACAATTGACATTATTAACAAACACCTTTATATATGCAATCAGATTGTTTATCTTTATTTTGAAGCTTTTGTTTGTATAAAGAATCTCTTGGGAGCATAACCTGTACCTCTTAACCTCTGCTCTTGGAACTGTCAAATTTAAGTATTTACAGCTGACTTAAATTAATTTATATATTTACATTCTTTAAAAATGTAAACATGGAAAATTTGGAAGCCCATGGGGCGTAACCCAAGGGTAATATGAAAATTAAATGATATAATGTTGCATTGTCATCCATTTGTGAGCTATTTTTCAAATTTCAAGTCTCTAGCTCATTAGGAACTTCGTTTATAATTGATATCAAAATTTGTAGGAAAGCGAGCTAATAAAAACAAGCCCATGGGGCGTAGCCCAAGGGAAATATTAAAATTAGATATAATATAATAATATATGTAATATATTATAGTAATATGATATAATATTGCATTGTCATCCATTTGTGAGCTATGTTTCAAGTTTCAAGTCTCTAGCTCATCGGGAAGTATCAAAATTTGCAAGAAAGCGAGTTAATAAAAACAAGCCCATGGGGCGTAGCCCAAGGGAAATATGAAAATTAAATGGTATAATATTGCATTGTCTTCCATTTGTGAGCTATATTTCAAGTTTCAAGTCTCTAGCTCATCGGGAAGTTAGTATAAAATTGATTGCAAAATTTGTACCGGACAAGAAAGCGAGCTAATAAAAACGTTTTAAAAAATGAGGTATAAGTAGAATTTTAGTGACTGACGCACCCAACTAGGTTCTTAAATAGTTTGCGACGGCTGGTCCATTTACATTGTATGTCTACTTCAGTATCCAATAGTGAATGGTAGTATCATTACAATTCGACACACAAGAAGATATACCACGTATGGACCAGATCTTAACAGTTGTATTTTGTAAAGAGAACATAATTTTAATTAGCCTCTTATCAAAATTACTACAATGCAAGTTAGTTTTTTATTATTTAGTTGTTTAATATGATAGTGGGATATAAAATGCAATATTATACCCCTATGATAATTAGTATAGTTGTAAAGTTGCTGTATAAAAACGACTCTCTATCAGGGGCTGGACCATTTTAAATTCTAAACCCAACTATAGGCATTGGCTTTGAGATAGCACCTTTTGTACGTCATTTCACAAGGAAATGAGTCACTTTACAATTCGAGCTACTGAAAAACTAAATTTTTTCTTCCATTTTTTATGTTTTAAGAGTTTATGTAATAAAATAAACTATATAGTTTACAATAGGTTTACCTTTTAGTTAGACGTGATTTATTTGTTTGTGTTAACAACAGAAATAACTTATTAGCAACACCACACTCTGTCGTAGGCTTCATACAATTACAATACCTTGAATCCTAAAACTAGCTAAACCTTTACGTGGGAATGGAATATCTAGTTCTACCGATTGCCAAAGCTGCAACTTTACATTGGGATGGCTTTTTACTTGCTGTATCGTATCTATGGTCGAGAGCAATACCCCGCCACAGCAAACCTACCACCCAAGCGAATTTCCGTTTGTTTGAATTGATTTTCAATTCAAACATTAAGTTTAACTAATACCTAGGTTTGTTGCCACAATGAAACTAATAAAGTGTGTTTTTAGTAAAATATTAATAGCTTAGTGTAAAATAGATAAATTTGCCAGGTTTGATCAAAATATGTCCATAAACAAGCAAACTACAACATTTTACAGTAATCTCCATAAAAATAACATGGGAATTTTAAAATTAAATTTGTTTTATCCATAAACAAGCAAACTACAACATTTTAGAATATTCTCTATAAAAATAACATGGGAATTTTAAATTAAAACTTTTTTTATTGTCTCCGTTACCAATAATTGTACAAAAACAATTTGATATACTAGAGTATTTGTTTTTTAAGCTCATTAAAAAGGTCTGGAGAGAAATTGGGATATTTCGTGTTTTGAGGGTCAAAAAATGAGAAATACCAATTTTTACCCCATAAAACCCCCCGTAAAACCCCATTCCCATGGTCCGATTATGCTGGTTCGCGAACTCATTGAAGTTTATCCTGCCTTACACCTTTAAACCAAATTTCATCAAAATCTGACGAAACTCAAGTTATCGCGTTCACGGACACACACGCACACACATACATATATAAATCTATATATATATATTTGAACGAATGGTTTTTTTGCCTCTGGGGACATCAAAATGAAAAAGTAAATTGGTCCCAGGCCTAGGTCTTACCATGCTACCTACGGTAATAGCTACTTCCCTATAGGGAAATTCGCTAAAAGTAACCTTACATTGGAATTTCTATATTGCAGGACAGACTAACTACAGGCGCTGGAGTTGTAAATGGAATCCAGGAAAAATTAGAACAATACATATTTCTACGATGTTTACAGGTTAGTCTTAAATAAATTGTTTGTCGTTTTTAGCCTATTGAACGATAGCTTTACATACAAGAGACCTTGTCGATATTAATACTCTGTATTTGATGATCAATTAGGCCCTTATTAATATATATATGTAATAATAACTTGTATCGGTATACTTTTTATGTTTCCAATCTACCAAAACATGAATCTGTCAGCCTCATACAAACGAAGTTCCTATTTCGCTCAACAGGATCACTATCAGGAATCATAATAATATAATATAATATAAATCACCATACTATAATGACAAATTAGTATACTACGTGATAAGGCTAGGAAGTAGAGTGTTACAGTACTAGAGAATCCCTAGCCTATGAAATAATATGTAACTATAAAAAAACTTGTGTGTGATTATAATTTGATTGTTCCATTCCGGTGATTTCAATTTATGACATGACACTCAAAGCCACAATTTTAAATATTATTGCAAAAAACAAAAACTGTTGGTAAATTTGTAAAAATACAAATAGCCTAGTCTCAAATTAAAGAATTTTTATTTTGTAACGATTTACACTGTTGTACATATATTGTTATACATTATTTATACTGTTGGCTATAATTTTTTTTTTATTTATTTAATGTACTTTTATAGTGAAACAAATTTGTTCCCTGTGTAACTTATCTTGTGGGATTTTAATCGAAATGAATTAGAATCCAGTTGTCAAGAAGGCAAAACTGAGCTTCTTCTATTAAAAACGTACTTTTGATACATTTAATACTGGTTTTTAATACAATTTTACCATGGAAAAAATGTTACAGCTAAATGTTACACCTAGGGAGTTTTTAGTTACGTAACGCATCTGTTTAATCACAGCCACCTCTGTATTAGAGGTGGCTGTGGTTTAATACAACTGTTTTTGCTGCAGTATGACGCAATAGTATATTTTATCACTCGGGCCTAAAGTGACTCTTTTCGACCAGAGGTCAAGTTTTACGATCGAGGCGAAGCCGAGGTCGGAAAATGATCTAGGGTTGAAAATACACTTTTTGCCCCTGTGATGAACTATATTTTTCGTCATATTGCACCATTATTTGAACAAACTATGTAACAAAACTAAATAGTTTTCATTTAATGTAACCTCAAAAAACTACTTCTAACTTGTATTCAATTGAATTTGATAATGGAAACGCGCAGCTGTTTAGTAAGTGATCAACAGTCTTGTCAATTGTGTTACTGTACATTATAAAAAACTATTTAGTACAATAAGGCAACAATAAACTACAATCTATTAAACAATCGATTCGTAGTTTCGTTACAAGCAATTTTTACAAACTAAATTTACAACTGATTTGACACAGCTGATTTTCTTTCCTTAGGGGCCAAAAGGTGCGTTTTCCTCCAACTTCAGTAACCGCGCTGCGTGCTACGCGATTAATCTAAAGAACGCAGCGTGGACAGGAACAGCGTGATTAAAATTTTACGCTGCGCAAAAGTGTTTTCCTAGAAATCCGGCAATGCGTTGCGTAACATCAGATTCGCGGTTTCCACAGTAGCGTTCTGCTACGGATCTCAGAAAGAAGAGTCTCATACATAAATAAATGATAAATAAATGTGGTGACTCATACATTGGGGTATGTGAAGTTGGCCTATCAAAAAAAAACCTACCCACAATTATTAATTCCATTTGTTAGTTCCGTGTTAGTTCTTCATAGTTCCGTTAAAATTTGCATTTGTTAGTTAGTTCGTTCGTTAGACGGAATTATTGGGAACTAACTTGTAACTAACTATTGACACTGTTTGAAACCCAATTTAGGGCATGGATATGCTGGCGTAAAGTTAGCCCGCCCCAAGGCCACACACGTGGATTGTGCCGGTTACATAGTGTAACATGTTAACTAAAAAAAATTAAACTAAAATAAAAAAATATTAAATTAGGGCCTAAGTTAAATTGAAATTTTTTGATATGATGTTTAGTTTAAGTATTTAATGTATTAAATTAAAGAAACGTCCTAGGTACAACACTTTAAAAATGTATTTACACTTATACTGTTTTCAAGACTTTAAATATACATGAAATTGGTAAAAGTTTATCGATTTCGAATGGTCACACCAAATGATCACACAGTCAATTAATAAACTGTCATCATCAACAGTGAACTTGGTAACATCACTACAACTTATCGTTTTCTCCATATTTCCAATGTAAACAATGGCCCAGTTCGGCAGCGTGGTTCACAACTGACTGCTCTCGAGGCAGTGGTCCCAATCACGCTGCGCGCTGCGCACTGCGCAGTTGGCAGTTAGTCGCGCACCGCGCCGCTAGGAAAACAGTCACATTCGTTTAAAAGGGATCGGTGGTTCTGGCAACCACGGAGCACGAAGCACGCAGCGTAACAGGCTTAATCGCGTCGCTAGGAAAACGCCGCTAAACACGATATTTACCCCCTTGAGTAAAAATGCCACTTTAGACCCGTAACGCATGCATTAAAAATTGCTGTTTTTGCTGCAGTATGACGATACATTATATGTTTGCATTGTACAACCTGAGTTACAAACAGAATATCAAAGAACACTTTGTGAATCATCCCGCAAAGGCATTGTGAGTATTTTTCCATGGAGAGAAGAGAACAGAAAGATATTTAGTGGTCAACCTACAGTAAAAGAAACCTGCAAAGCCAACTACTCATTGAAACCCCTCTAACCCCTCTTCTACTCCGTATAACACAGATGTGTTAAATGTTTGTCACAGGTCTCCAGTTCAGGTCAACACGTATCCTAAGCCTTCAGAACACGCAGGGTTTGGTGCCAGTGTCCAGTATATGGTCCAGGTGCTAGGTAATAGCTAGGACCATACTGGTTTATATCGAACCTTAGTTGTGGATAATACGTTGGAAATACTTGATGTTGAGCCTCCACGAGGGGGTCTACCCCTTGTAGTGGGAGATTTCTTTTACATTTAAGGCTAGGTATATATACTATGATTGTCATAAGTACAGTTCAGGGGACCATGGTGAACTCGTAGCTGGAAAATTTTCCAAATGATTTCGCTTTGTGTACAATTTATTCTTTATTTTATTTTTAGAACACCAATCAGGATGTATTCTACCGCAACCTGGTCAAAGACCTGGAGGCTCTGCTTCCCGTAGTGTACACCCCCGTGGTGGGTTTGGCCTGTCAGAAGTACGGACTTGTACCTTGGCAGCAGAATGGGCTGTTCATATCCATCAATGACAAGGGAAACGTGGAACAGAAACTGAGAAGCGTGTGGGTAAAATAAGAGAGAGAAAAGTAACTAAAGTTACGTTTAAAATATTTGTGTGCTTGGTGAAAATACTTTGGTATGAAACCAACCCTAGAAGATAGGTTGGTTATTGCTTTCATTAACTAGGTAGTTTTTGTCTTAAAATTTTTTTATTTGGGGCAACGCTGCTTTTCTGTGTGTGACTAGGAGTTGATTGTCCATAAAATTAGAACAAAAGAGTTAAAGGGGAGAAGAGTTGTTGGGCTAAGAATATAACGAATAATCTGACTGAAATTCTTTAGAGGCTAAACCCAGAAGACGAAATTTAAAAAAATCACTTATAAGAACAGGAGTTTATCAACTACGTTTTATTGAAAATCATATGACATATCTCCTTTTACTGTACTTACTACTTACTTAATACCTCAAGAATATTCGCCGCAAAAAGGGCTCCCTTTACGTTTACAGTTATCACCTTCTCTGATGCCCAAGGTGAGCCAAACTGTCCTGTGTGGCCCCAGGACCAACGTGGCCTGAAACGATGTTACGGCAAGGCTAAATAAATATTCTAGATCAAACCCAGCACTTTAAAATGTATATCATATTGTTTTTTAAAGACGTTTTCATCCACGGTTTCCCTAGTGTTTGTAAAACGACAGCATATTCTATTTAAACTTTTGTTAGTGAATTTAAACACCAATACCAAGTTTAATTCTTTGTTATGTTTTCTTTCTTTCTAGTTTACAACAAACAGGTCCGGTATGGCGAAAACTGGGAAGCTCAGTTGTTAATACAGCCGCAAGATTCGTCCCATTCTATAAAAGGTAGTTTGCATTGTTACTTCAGGCTGAAAAATGCACAATTTCATTGACAAAATTGCTGTATTGTGATTTAAATTTGAAACTCTTCAGTAAAATCCTATACTAAACCTTCTAATGTTAAAAGTCAATTACTTTTAAGTAAAACATTGCACACTGTTTTAATCAATCACCAAATTATAAGGTAACGTACCAAAAAATTAATTTTCACCACACTATGATGTTTTTAGCTGTTTTATATACCCCATATCGATGACCTCAATTAGACACAATTTAAAAATCTAAAGTAAGATCTCGGTTGTAGTCCGAGATATTGTCTATGCCTATTTTGAATACTAGGCATAGGATTGGTGGCTGAAATTTACGTTTTGCTAGCCATGACAGCTGTCATCGTAATTTGGGTACCGAGCAGGTTTTTACGTCCCTAGGGCCGCAAAATCAGCCGCCCGCTTAACTTTATTAAAACATGAATGTAATTAAATACACAATCAGTATCCATAGCATTGCAATATAATTGTTTTATGTCACCGCTGCCTAGCAACTATTTATTATTATTTTTGCTAATTCCTCAAAATATTCCTTCACATAACCTTAAATTTGTAGTTGTGTTGACTATCAGTGTGCATTATTATTGTCGTGAATAGTGATAATAGGGTATAGTGTGGTGAAAAATAGGGTTCGTGCAACGGACCGAAATGGTTTCGCAGCTCTCGATCGTTTTAAGTTGTCGACTTCGTCTCTTTGCAACAAACTGTTATCAAAGAAAACCAAACAATTTTTTTATATTTTAGGCAGAAAACAGAAGTAAAAGCAATTGTAGTTACGGATGGAGAACGTATTCTAGGACTGGGTGATCTTGGCGCCAACGGTATGGGTATACCTGTCGGCAAACTGGCCTTGTATACAGCAATAGGAGGAGTGCATCCTAGATATTGTCTACCTGTCACTCTAGATGTGGGGACCAACAACGAGGTAACTATCCTAGATATCCTGTAGACAAAGTAACTTGTATACAGCAATAGGAGGAGTCAATCCGAGATATTGTCTGCCTGTTACTCTAGATGTGGGGACCAACAACCAGGTAGCTATGCTAGATATCCTGTAGACAAAGTAAATTGTATACAGCAATAGGAGGAGTGAATCCGAGATATTGTCTACCTGTCACTCTAGATGTGGGGACCAACAACCAGGTAACAATCCTAGATATCCTGTAGACAAAGTAACTTGTATATAGCAATAGGAGGAGTGAACCCGAGATATTGTCTACCTGTCACTCTAGATGTGGGGACCAACAACCAGGTAACTATCCTAGATATCCTGTAGACAAAGTACCTTTTACATGGCAATAGGAGGAGTGAATCCGAGATATTGTCTAACTGTCACTCTAGGTGTGGGGACCAACAACGAGGTAACTATCCTAGATATCCTGTAGACAAAGTAACTTGTATACAGCAATAGGAGGAGTCAATCCGAGATATTGTCTGCCTGTTACTCTAGATGTGGGGACCAACAACCAGGTAGCTATGCTAGATATCCTGTAGACAAAGTAACTTGTATACAGCAATAGGAGGAGTCAATCCGAGATATTGTCTACCCGTCACTCTAGATTTGGTTACCTACAACTAGGTAACTACCCTAGATATCCTGTAGGCAAAGTACCTTTTACATGGCAATAGGAGGGGCGAATCCTAGAGTGAATCCATGAGTCACTCTAAATGTGGGAACCATCAACCAGGATACAAGTCTTTGTAACCAGGACTTAGGAAACCTACGATATTGTACATGATTGTTTTTTATTCGGCTATGTCTTCCTGATGTGTTGTTATTATTTTAATGTGTTCATATAATAATGTTATGATGTATTATCATTGACTTTTGGATACCAAAGTATACATCTAAATGGAATAGCCGTCATCATTTTTTTTTAATAAAAAATAACATAGCTCTCTTAGCCAGTCACATATTGAACTTGTATCTAAAATTCAATTTCTACATTATTTTTGTAACTGAAACAGTTAAAGGAGCATAAAAGATTATGTATCTTACGATATGTTGTGCTATCAGTTTGAGTTGTTACAACATTATTTAATAGATCTCAGTAATTTACATCAGCGCCCTAACCACTTGTATGTAACTTGCAAGTAAGTTCTCCTTGATCTTCACTGAGTTACATTTCCTCAGGAACTCCTGAAGCCAGACTCCCCGTACGTTGGATTGAGACAAAAACGAGGAGACCCGAATGAATACAAAGAGTTGGTCGACGAATTCATGAAAGCAGTGGTCAACGTTTACGGAAGGAATACACTGATACAAGTAAATATGCATCTCTAATTTGGTCGTAGATATTTAACTGTCTAACGGATTATCAAAAAGATTACGCGGCTATTGTAGGTTAAATGAGAAATATTTTACCTAGGTTTCCACATTATTATATGTTATATTAATTTAGAGCGATGTTTTCTTTTTGCCAAGAGCATTGGGAATTTATGTATGCGACAATTGATCTTTCGTCGCTGTGTTTCGTGCGAGAAATTTTAAAATGTTAATTAAAGAGCTCAAAATACTTATATTACGTGAATTAAGGTACGGAATGAAACTTTACATACTTTTTTAGGTTTGTTCATTTTACAAACTCGCTGTGTCTCTAAGGACATGAAAATCAATGAGAAGTCTCGGTTGTAGATTGCTGGTTTCACCTCTTCATCGTACTTATTTACTAAATTATGCATTTTATATTTATTTTCATAACATTTGCAGCTGATTGAATACTAAACTTGGGTTTATAATATGTAACTGGTGAGTTAAAACACATAGCAAGTATTTTTATACCAAATTGTAATCAATGTAAGATGTATCTTGTATGTCTAGTTTGAAGACTTTGCGAATGAAAATGCCTTCAACTTCCTGACCAAATACAGAGACCAATACACAATGTTCAATGATGATATTCAAGGAACTGCAGCTGTTACTGTGGCTGGCATTTTGGCAGCTGTAAGATTTATGGACAAAAAACTAGAAGATTTCAAGGTGCTTTTTGTAGGTGCTGGAGAGGTAGGTCACTTAGAATGGAATTAATATTAGAAATTGCATTCTGTACCCTTTTTAATTCCAAAGCACGTACCAAACAACTACCTGCTTACTTCTAATACTATCTGCTTTCTTGGAAAACCTAATTGTATAATTGGTTTATGGTTGGAATCTTAGTTCTCAAGCTTAATTAGTTTACGCAACGATCCCGTAAAGATATTGTTAACGACACGAGTAGAATTGATGAACACCTTAAGAACTTCTACGAGTGTCGTTAAGACTATTTACATGACTTGCGTATACTACTTTACCTACGACAGTTTTTAATTACTAACAATCACTACTCATAACTTCAAGAGGTTATTTTTTCGTTTATAACATCCCATTGCCACTGACAGTGATGCAACGAATCAAAAATCCTTTCGGGCTCCGCCCCAGTGGCTCTGGAGTTTCCCATGTTAACCTTATGAGAAATGGAATTATTGAATCTTAACAGCTGTTAAACAAGTTGGTTCTGTTCTATGATGTTCAATAGCATTAAAGTTACAAGGATTACCAACAGGGTGCAGCACTATTATTTCTTTTACATTTATGACAACAGCTAATTTGCAACCAAAAGGTGAGTGAGCGCAGCGAACGAACTTCAACCTGGAGGCGAGTTAGCGTAGCGAACGAGCTAACCTGAAGGCAAGTGAGCGCAGCGAACGAGCTCCAACCTAAAGGTGAGTGAGCGTAGCGAACGAGCTCCAACCTAAAGGCGAGTGAGCGTAGCGAACAAACTTCAACCAGGACATGATTGAGCCATGCGAACGAGATAATCTTAAAAAATTAAGAAGTTAAACGGGGCAAAGCCCGCGGGTTACAGCTAGTATTAAATAATTGGTCTAAGCAGCTGATTAGTTTACGTTTGAAACATTACAATTTTACTTCTTTTCCCTTAATCCTTGACCCTCGTTGGTCCATACTCGTGTTGTAAAACAACAGTGCTGTTAGGTACAGTTCGGCCAAAACTTCTGAGTCGCTACTAGCCTAATTAAAACATAGGGGACCTGTTATTGCCAGTGCTGGGGGTAGAGGTTAGTGAGTAGGACGCAAATGTTTTCACAAAAGTACCCCCGCCAACCCATTCGCCTAGACCCGACCAGATCTGGTCACGGACACAGAAACTTTGGCCAAACTGTAAGTAAGCAATGCTGTTATGTAAATAATTTCAATGAAACGGCTTCTTAAAAAAAAATAAAAAACTGTCGTAATTAAAATCTGTAGTAAATTTATTACTAATTTGTTATTATCAATTGAGATGGGAAAGCGATTGGGCCTATTACAACCAAAATATGAATAAGATATTGGTGTGTAAAGGCGTGAGAAGCCTTGTGTATTTTTATTTCGGGTATCCAGTGACTGCACCAGCACTAGCCCATGTAGCGTAGGGAGTGTCTTCAGGTTAACCTACACACCCTTACACTCCATTGGAATTACTAAAGGCGGGTCTACACGCAAGGATTTCGCGAACGTTTTATCTGCGCAGGTAAAACGTTGCAGTCAAGAGAGGTGGCTATGAGTCAAGTCGTTGCAAAGAAATACGTCCACACAGTACAGGTTTCAGCACCAACTTTTTAGTGCAGTTTTGTGATAACTTTCGGTTTATGTGCACGTAATATGATGGAAGATGTGTTTTGTGGTCGATTTCTGCAGCCATTGTTACAAGAAAGCAAAGAAATAAGTCTGAGAGACGACGGCACCCACCATGGTCAAGACGTTGGTTACTAAACAGACAACCAATTTCATAATAGTTTTTCTTATCACAGTCACTATACTCCTTACTCTTGACCCTCCACAAATTAAGGAAACTTCTGCACAGTTCGATGAATTCAACAATAAAATCACGGAAACATTGTTGAAGATGTGCGATCGTAATTAAAAAACACACTTGTACCTCTGACAGCACGTGAAGACCCCTGCATACTGGGGTTCACGCTGCATACTGGGGTTTTGAGCGTGAAGACGGAGTTGAAACGGATGACAGTGTCCACACGCAACGACTTGTCTGAAAACGTTATCAAAACTATGCTCTCCGCAATAGTTTTATCGCTCCGTCTTCCGTCTCCGCGCAGTTATAGAAAATGCACAGTTTTGCGGTACACACGCAACGATTTACATGCGCAGGTAAAACGTACGGTAAATCCTTGCGTGTTGACTGGCCTTAATGGGAACAAACAACTAACACCAGGCAAGCTGTGTCCTTTAACATATATTGATATTAAATTACTCGTTATATACAGGCTGGTGTTGGGATCGCAAACCTGCTGGTAACCGCCATGGGAGGGGATGCAGATTTGGCTAGGAAGAGAATATACATGAAGAGAAGCAAAAAATTGATTGTTAAAGGAGATGAAAAGAACTACAAAGGTAAGTATTTCCTTCTGTTTTATTACTATTACAATATATAGCTTTTACTACCCAATGTTTGGAGATCAGATGCAATATGAAATATTATTTCAAAACATGTAAACCCTCTTTTGCAGATGATGACGACAGAAGATTGTACTGCCACGTGGACCCGGAGGGAAGAGATATCACCAATTTGGACCAAATAATTAAATGGATAAAGCCAAATATTTTAATTGGTGATGTATTATTTTGCAACATATTTAAAAAAAACATTTCCCAAAAATTGTATATTCACTTATTTAAGTAGCACCTAATTCATGATGTATATTTATTATGATAGTATGCGGTTGCTATTGTGGTAGTATGCTGATAGTGGTAGTAAGTGTGTTAATTAAACTAAAATTTAAAAAATAAAAACATCCATGATGGATTTTCTTTGTAACAGTTGATGCTACTTAATTTTATGTTTTCTTTAATAAAAATTGATTATAACTATATAGCCTACCCTCTTAGAGCGTTATTTTTGTTTCAATTCATTGTTTTATTTTCCCAGGTATATCAATTTTAATAGCCAGGACCATATTTCCCATTACATCGGGTTTATATGTGACGGAAGAAACGTGTAGCGGAATAAACAAAATGTGTAGGCCTAGATAATTCAAATCACATCATCCCTAGAATAATTAGGAATAAATTTGTTTCTCCTCCTATACCATAGTATATATGGAGAAAGTATTGTTTTCGTCAACATTTTTGAGTTTGAGTTATGGGTCAATATATCCGTTTTTGTGTCCCCTGAAAAATTAGGGTCAGTTTCCAAAGTGATGTCTGTCTGTCAGACTGTGTTTGTAGGTTCGGTTTGTACGTACCAAATTTGGCAAATACTTTGGTATGTAGGTACCAAATTTCACTAATCCATGGTATCTCCAGAATTTTTTTTTCTTTTTTTAATTTGTATTTTATTGATTTTCACATTAAAAAACAAAAAATCAAATCTTCTCAAAAATTGCCTGAACAATTTTGATAGAAATTTAGTATCTGAAAGTACAAAAATAGGTCAAAGAACAATTAATTTTAATAATATATTTACACTTATAATTTTTAATCACAAAACGGTAAATAAATAGGATCAAAGATGGTAAGTGGTTACGATGATGATGGGAACCACTTTCCATTTTTTATACGTATTTACCGTCTTGTGAGTAAACAGTATGTTAAGTGTAACTATATTGTTACAAGTGTTATTTGACGTATCTTTGTTCTTTAAGGTTAAATTTAATAACACGTACCATAATGATCAAAACGTCTTTTTTTCATTTAGTATGTTTAAATCCTTTAAATTCTCAACAAAATGGTAAAACCTATTGTTGAATAAATTACTGTTAAAAAATTATCGTAACTTATGTTATTTACCCATTAAAAAATCATAAAATAACGGACAATTGGATTTTTTTTTTAAGCCGGTTGGGATTAAATTTAGTATGTTATGGTCCTTTTAATTCCAAACAAAATAGTGCAAATTTCCTGTAAATATTACGTTAACAAAATTACTGACACTTTTGTGATTTCCCTATAAAATATCATAGCTTCTCCCACCGCTTACCCATGGCATGATAAAGGTTGTTGACAAGCTAATGGGAGAAAGTATTGTCGGATTGCTTATACTGTTTATCATTCTTTTCACTGCAATTTGTTTATATTTAAACTGGTGATGTTCGTTTCTAGGTGTCTCGGGGCAAGGCGGAATCTTCAACAAGGAAGTTCTAGAGGCTATGGCTGAAGTTTCAGACACTCCGATCATCATGCCACTCAGCAACCCTACCTCCCAGTCCGAGTGTACTGCCGAAGAAGCCTACACTCACACCAAGGTGATATACTCACAAAATTTTGTTTAGGTGTGAAGGTGGAATAAGCCAATTCAATAGCTTACCTTAATGTAAGAAGTGAGTTCTTCTAAGACTCATTGCTCATTGTATATATGCATGATTGATAAAAGCTAAACCCCCTAAATACTCGAGTGCAAGCACTTGTATACGTTGTAGCGTTAGCAAAATTATGTAGGATGTAGCGTTAGCAAAATGATGTAGGATGTAGCGTTAGCAAAATGATGTAGGATGTAGCGTTAGCAAAATGATGTAGGATGTAGCGTTAGCAAAATGATGTAGGATGTAGCGTTAGCAAAATGATGTAGGATGTAGAGTTAGCAAAATGATGTAGGATGTAGCGTTAGCAAAATGATGTAGGATGTAGCGTTAGCAAAATGATGTAGGATGTAGCGTTAGCAAAATGGCGGTGATGATCTGATATAGTACTGTGAGACTAATTTAAGCGTGAGTAGTTATGATAGGGGAGGTTTTTATGGGGAATTGAAATGAAATTGAAAATTTTCATTTAGATGTGAGTGTGATGGTATTTGTGATTGGAGAGGTACATGTGAGTGAGATAGTGAATGTTAGTTGAGGGTGGGGGTTTGTTATTGTATGAGAAAGAGAGAATGAAAAAGAAATGGGGGAGGAAGAGAGGGTATTGAAAGATAGATGGAGAGAGAGAGAGAGAGAGAGAGAGAGAGAGAGAGAGAGAGAGAGAGAGAGAGAGAGAGAGAGAGAGAGAGAGAGAGAGAGAGAGAGAGAGAGAATGAAAGAGGGTATTAGGAGATGTATCTTTGAATTTACCTAAGACAGTATTAGAAATTAAAGGTTGATCTTTTGTAAGTGAAGTAGAATCAGTACTAGTAGTGAATACTTGTATTGCAAATGAATCGTTGTCTGTGTATATTAAATTCTGATTCTGCTACCAAATGATTTACAAGAAAGACTGTAAACATATTTCTATTTTAATTAAATTCCTAAATTTCATTCATGCTCATATTTTTAAAATTCGTATTAGGCCCATTTAAAACAATTATATTAATCCGAAGTAAATCAAATATTACAATTTTCTAATACAAAGAGACATGTTGAATGGCACCGACGAGTCTACAAGTATCATATTAAGGTCCCGGGCAATGGACGCACAACCTGACGTCTACAGTGAACTGCTGATCGAAGTGGCAGCCAATCACAGCATTGAGCACCAAAGGGATCATCTATGATTGGACACTGTAGGCGTGGTTAATTAGAATGATGGGAAATCTCAAAAAAAAGGAAGGGACAGGAGGAGCAAGATGGGATCAGTCTGGAAGAAGATTTGCGAGGCTTAGGACGGGGTCGGATCGAGCAGGCCCCAAATTATATCAGGATTGGTAAAATCTGCCACCTGAATACGTCCTAGGCCAAACTACTTCACCTACTCAGCCCACGCCGAGAGAAGAGGTTCCAGGGGGTCGTCATCCACCATCGAGGACCAGGATCAACCACCGAGTCATCTGCCAACGGAGACAAGGGGAGGCCTGGACATCACGAGACGTCACCTCGGGGAATTCATCTACCCTCAAGATCTTCTCCTCGGTATGTCAAAATTCAATTATAATTCCCAGGACAACAAATTTTAGAAGAAAGAAGATAAATTTAAATTATATAAAAAAAGGGCCTAAGTTAAGTAACTACAATTCATTCAATCTAAACCTAACTAAAAATAAAATTGAAAACCTAAATAAATTGATTATATAAAACAAAATAAACAATTATAAATAAATAATTTACTGCTAAACAAAACAACAACAATATAGCCTTAAAGGTTATACCTGTAAAATAATGTATTTAATATAATTAAGTTCTCATTTAGTATTTCGTTTTCAAACGACTATTTTTGATACTTTGCTAAATTGTGAATAGTCTTTGTTTGCAAAGTGTATTAATTTTATAGAATTTCATATTAGGATTGTGTATTAAGTTTTGTGAACTGGACTTTGGCCAAATGGCAAAGATGTAGATTAATAACATTTATGAATATCCATATATTTATATAAAAGGGTTTAATTAATTAAGAACGAGTCATTTTACATTGGTATTATATCTATCACTTTTAATCTTATATGTGTTCAATTCTCTTATCTTGATACTGGGGCCCCAAAAATGTTTAATTCCTTTGGTTAATACGTAATTTGGTTTATTGATCATCATATATATATATATATAATGTGTTTTAAAGGGTTACATACATTAGACTAAATAATTAAATAAAATTTAGTAACTCATACAATGGTGTCAGTTCAATCAGTTCCTGAGTATTCTCACATATACCAAGCGAGTATACTGAGCTTAGTTGTACAGTTGAACCTCTATAAGACGAATTTCAAGGGGTACGGGAAAAATTCGTACTATAGAGGTATTCTTAATAAAGAGGGTCGTTTTATCGAGGTTTAATACTGCTGTTATTCTTCTTATAGAGGTTTCTCCTCGCTCTAAGATAACCTCTATAAAACGAAGATGTCTATGGCCAACCTCTATAATACGAATCATTGTTACTGTTAGATCTACAGTGTACATACTGTAGGCCTACTAAAGTTACTGTACTATTTTTTCAATGCATGATTAGGTAAGAAAAACGTGGTCGTAGCAATAAAAAAAATTGTGTTTATTTATAAATCACTTAAGTATTAAAACAAACAATGAACTGTGAAAAACCATGTACTGTATAATAGATACAGCAAAAACAAATCTGAAGTCAAAATTTAGTACGGTAAAGTATACAGTACTGTACATACAAACTTTGTGGTACAATATTAGAAACTTATACAGTACAGTAACAAATGAATATCGCAATAAGATTGTCTCGCAAAAATAAAAATGTCAAGCGAGAAGCCATACAGTAATGTACACAATAATGAAACAACTGAACAGAATTAAGCCTGATTAATCTGAAAAAAGTCATCAATTTTAGATTGCTTACTTGCATTAATGGCTACCGTATCCAATGTGGAATCCAAATCGACGATGGCTTTCACTACACTTTCACTTAAACCATTTTTCTTTAAGAAAAAACACTTGAGCACATCAATAGCTTCTCTTGCGTCTTTCGTAGACGGTTCCAGTTGATCATTCTCCGTGTCTGCATCCTCCTCGTCATCTTCACCTGCGTCATATTCTTCAAGATTTGAGGGTCGAACAGAATCCAGGATATCCTCATCAGTAAGCTCTCCACATACTGCTACATCATCATCGAAGTCAACAAATTCTTCAAACTCCATTTCTTGAACGCCTAGTGTTTCACTGACTTTGTTCCAGTTTTGATCTGGGCCTACTTCTGCATTTTGGGGTGCTGGAGTTAGAGGTTGGTCATCGTCCTCATCTTCGAGGTCCGTCACACGAAATCCACATTTTTTGAAACAGTTAGACACAGTTTTTTCTGCCGAACAACCTCCTTTCTATAGTTAACTTTGAAATTTTTAATAATTCCCTGGTCAAGTGGTTGGAGCCTTGATGTGGTGTTCGGGGGAAGAAATTGGACTGAGATGTTTGACAAGTTTGGAACAGTTCCGTGTGCACTACAATTGTCAATAAACAGCAGGATATTTTTCTTTTTCTTCTTCATTTCCGTGTTTACAGTTTTCAGCCATGCACTGAACTCATAACCATTCATCCACGCTTTTGAGTTAGCCTTATACAGTGTTGGTAAACTGTTGACATTTTTAAAACATCTAGGTTTTTGTGACTTGCCAATAACTAAAGGCTTGAGCTTATTTTTTCCTGAGGCGTTGACTCCAAGCAACACAGTTAATCGGTCTTTGCTGTGTTTGCCTCCGTTGCAAGGGTCTCCTTTAAACGTCATGGTTTTATCTGGTAGACACTTGAAAAAAAGACCAGTCTCGTCTGCGTTGTATATGTCATCTGGGTGGTAGCCCTGAGTAATGTCAGCAAGTTTTTCTTTCCAATCATCGCATACTGTACTGTCTACAGACGCACTTTCACCACACACATTTTTAAAAACAATATCGTTCCTTTTTTTAAATTTTTCTAGCCATCCATTACTGGCACGAAAATTAGGATGTCCCAATTGTACAGCAAACTGCTGTGCCTTTTCTTGGAGAATAGGGCCTCCGATTGACAAATTTTTATCGCGGCACTGCTTTAACCACTTTAAAGTGGCCTCGTCTACATCCCGAAATTCACCGGTCTTTGCACGTTTGCAAAACTTAGAAAGTCCACTTGCTTCATCGTACTTGTCTCTATTCTTTATGATGGTTGCTAACGTTGTTGGAGGGATGTTAAACTCCTTAGCGATGGCGATTTTCTTCTTCAACGGGTTTTCTTCCACATGCTTCAAAACTGTACGCTTAAACTCTACTGATAGTGCCGTTTTTGACTTTTTCCCTGCCATACTGTACTGTACACTTAAGACTTGCTCTAAAACAAGGGAAAAACCCAGCCGGAAGGTCACTGGACGGTTCACGGGCACGTGCCAAACAATGACTGAGGAAGGAAGAGGGATGGGTGGGGGTTTCATGTTGAGACAAGCTTCTGTTTGTTTTGAAAACTACGTACTATGGAGGTTAAGATTATGAGAAATCCGTCTTATAGAGGTCCCGTTCGTCTTGTAGAGGTTTTGTGCTTAGAATATTCGTTGTATAGAGGTTAATCAGTCCTAGCCCATGTCACAAACAAATTCGTCTTATGGAGGTTTTTAACCTAATTACTACGTTGTACAGAGGTGTTTTTAGCATTGACCTTTATGAAAGTTTCAAGGGGATTAAAAAAAATTCGTCTTATCGAGGAATTCGTTTTACCGAGGTTCGTACTAAGGAGGTTCAACTGTAGTCATTTTGTATTTTTCACATTTAAAGTCAAAGAAAACCCCCAACAGTTTACAAGACGTGTTGCGGACCAGAGGACGGAGATCTTTTACCCAGGCCGGAAGCTTGCATAGCCAGCTTTGATTGATCTTAATACAACTAATTTACTTAACTATCCTTCAAAACTTGTGACCTAGAAAATGACTGTGTGTGGATTGATTTGGTGGTGATTGAACTACTTAAATCAGAAATAACTATGAATTTATTGAGATGAAGTGTGAACACCTACTGGGGAAAACGTGTTTGGCCTGTCATGTTGAAAATGGTCCGAGGCTGAACGTCTCGGACGGTAATTGATTAATTGCTACATAACCAATGTCGGGGCGACCGTTGTAGGTCTCCCCCTTTAGTTTGCTAACTAGCCTGACATTGTTATTTAATTTCTAACATATACAGACTGTCCCAAAAGTCCCGAACCGGTTTAATATTTTCTAAACGACAACAGATAAATCAATAAGATTTTTCACATCAACACCACACTTCAAAATCTACTTTTTAAAGGAGCTATCAATTTTCTGTCATATCATGGGGACGTCCCGCAAGGAGTCAGAAGGAAATCTTTAATAGAAGCATAGGTTGACATGCACATCAAATTAAAGACGTTTACTAGTAGAATACAATTCCGTAAATTCAAGCTCAAAAGAAAGCCTGAGTAAAAAATGGCAGCCGTTCAAAGATTTCTTGAACCTGCCATTTTGAATTTTTTAACGACTGCCATTTTTTACTCAGGTGTTCTTTTGAGCTTGAATTTACGGCATTGTAATCTACTAGTGAAGACCTTTAATTTGATGTGCATATCGACCTATGCTTACGTTAACAATTATTTCCAATTCCTAGGGCTGTGCCCCCAAATGCAAATTAAATGAATCTTTGAACCACTGTCATTCTTGACTGTGTTGTCCGTTTGAGTTTAAATTTGCGGCATTATATTCTGCTAGTAAAGACCTTTAATTTGATGTACATGTCAACCTATGCTTCTTTTTAAGATTTTCTTCTGACTCCTTGACGTCCCCATGATGTGACAGAAAATTGATATTTCCTAAAAAAAAAAAGTAGATTTTAGGTGTGGTGTTGATGTAAAAAATCTTATTGATTTATCTGTTGTCGTTTAGAAAATACTAAACCGGTCCGGGACTTTTGGGACAGTCTGTATAATTAGCCTAGGGACTTAGTCATTTATGTAGGGTTGCAGATGATCAGTTTTTAAAGGCAGCTTCTTGAGAGGTCCGGCGAATAAGTAGGAAGAGAATTAGAAAAGTAGGTGGGGGAAGGCGTTCGCTTGCTCGCGGTGGGCTGACGAGTTCGTCATGCAGCCCTGCCACGCGAAGCGCAGACACTATAAGAAATATAGCGTGCCGCTATGCGTCACAACGTACAAGTGTTTGCACTAGTTGAGTATTCCAGGGGTAATTTCTTGGGTTCTTAATCAATCAATTCATGGAGATGAGTTGTAAATATACTTGGATCAAGAGCTTAGAGACAAGTCTTTGTTTTCTCTGTGGCATCTCCGGTTCTTCTCGATCATGCTCTGATGGGTCGTCATAGACTTAAATAGTGGTATTTTGTCTGATTACCCCTCAATAAAACTCTACCCTTAACCCACTGACACTGACTCAAAATAACTCAATTTAGGTTTTTATAGCACTAAGATATTTGCAATATGAAATAGTTTTCAGTTCAATTATCATAAATTATATAAATTCCTAGAAGAATAGGTTTAACCATCTTAATAGTCAATCTCAATGTTCTATATGACTGGTTTTTAAACTCTAAGTTTAAATTGAATTAACAAATAGTTGACTATTGGAGAAGCTTCCAGGGTAAAGATAAAGTAGTGCAGAGTCATATGGTATAGTACTAGAAATACCATATTTCACTAACCTAAGATGACATGACATGCAGAAAAACACGATTAATGAGTAAAGGACGCACTAAATTTACCTAATACAATATATGATTCTAACACGTCGATCTTCCTAGGGCAAGTGTCTGTTCGCCAGTGGGTCCCCGTTTGTCCCAGTAAAAAATGTTCAAGGTCAAACCCGTCATCCTGGGCAATGCAACAACGCTTACGTCTTCCCTGGGTTGGCGCTGGCCATAACGGCGACTCAAATGAACAAAGTCCCAGAGGATGTCTTTCTGATCGCAGCTAAGGTATGTATGTTGGCTTATAAGTTCTTCTCATTAGTTGCAAGGAAGATTCCCATTAATCATCCTGCTTTTTAACGGAATCGGGTCTTTGATGGATCCCCGAATGCAGCATAAGTGAGAGCACGTAGACTTTTATCTACTCAACTGCTCACCGGACACGGCTGATTTAGGGCCTACCTTCAAGACCTACAAGATTGAGAAGTCAGCGATTCTGGAAGGTCAGTATAGTTACTCCGATTACAATGATGTTCTGCATACCTTTTCCATAGCGTAAGCGCTAGGGAGTTCGTCCATTTGTTGTTGTCCAGTCTCGAATCGTGAAACGCTGTGTATGCATTTTCTATGGTAGTGCTGAAAGTGATGAGAACCGATCTGTCTGATGCACCAGTGCAGCTAAATGACCTGGTAGAACATCGTGGCTGAATGCCATCTCTGGCGTACGAAGACACCCTTTTGAATTATTGCAAACAGCGTTTCGAGAGAGTTCCATTGACTGAACCGATAAGTTTTAATGGCTGAGATTCCCACACACCAGGGTAAAACACACATTTAGACCGTGGCAGTACATAAGGCTTAGACTACGTTAATATTTTTTACTATGTCATTATCTTGTTTCAGACTTTGGCAAACACATGCACGTTTAAGGAGGACTTTGACAAAGGAGGTTTATTTCCACCAATGGAACGAATCAGAGATTGTTCAGTAGAAATCGCTGTGGCAGTAGCTACACATGCTTTTGAAAATAGTAAGTAGTTGGCCTCCATAAATAACTAGCGTTAACGAATTGCCAAATCCTGATGTGTACCTCTCATTGGAAAATGATGTAGACATTTAATACTTATCAACATTGCTTGTTCCGCAATGCTAAAAATAGGTAACAAACGTCATAGCTTTGTCATAGTTTTTTATCAAGTTCAAGTCTATTTACGAGATTCAACAATTCAACTAACAATTTAATTCACTATAATTAGTTTGGTGATTATTTTGATAGAGGATTATTGTAATATTTGTGTGATGATTTATCGATTGATGAAAGGAATTTTGGAAAATTTTACTTTGGTTATACTTTCTTTAGGCTGATTAAAAAAATCATAAAATTATGATACAAAACTGCGTTAATGACTTAAAATTTCAGTATGATTGAATTTTTTATAGTCATAACTACAACGGTAGGGATACCATTTTATGATAAGAATATCATACCATTTTCGAAACAAAAAACCTATACAAAAAATGTGAATTTGTTCAATTGGTTTCCGTTTTCAGAGTTGACTAATCTTCAGATGCCTAAGGACATCCGCAAATTCATCTTAAGCCATCACTACAGTCCTCCTAAGTAGTACCATCACACTAGTGGTTGGATAACAAGACAAGTTGTTATTGTGATTACTATTATTGGTGAATAATAACTAAACTTGATTGCCATTTAAATGGAGCATTATTTTCACATCGATGATTTTTATCGAACTTCCCATATTACTATAGGCCTAAAAATAATATCTAAGCCAAAATAACCACCCGTTCAACCTATATTTATTTATACATAAAATCAAATCAAATCAATCAAATTATCCTTTATTCATTTAAGTACAATTGTACAGGAAAAGAGCCAGATCTTACAAAATAAAATGTTTTACATTGAACTAAAAATAAGACAGAATATTTATTTTATTTGTTCTCCCAAAACTCTTCAAGAGAATAAGGGGCAATTTTAATCAAATACTGTTTCAGACAATTTTTTTACTTTTTTGTATCATTAAAAATGATATCATCAGGCGTGCACGTAAACTCCGTAATCATTATTAAAATGGAATAGTCATCACACACAATAATTTACAAAAATACTTTTAATAAATTAACGGAGTCATAGGTCAGAATAAATCGTGTTTGTACGTGATGTGTGGCCACCACGATGATGATAGCGGCCATTTGTTATAAACATGTGTGTCCGTAAACGCGATAACTTGAGTCCGATTTTGATGAAATTAGCTGAAGCTGTACTTTGTCTTAGCAGTGCATTAGAATAAAACATATATGTTATAGCTGTAAAGGAAATTAACATGTAATCAGTCAAATATCGGTAAATACATTTAGTATTTTGATTTGAATTCCATTCATACCTAAAACAATGGTTAACTCAGAGAAGGTGGAGGAGGTGATGGAAGACAGGGAGTCAATTGAGACAAGATTGATCACTTCAACATTTACAGCTAAGAGATATTTACATTGTACCGTATTACACGTGTTATCTACATTTGGTAGGTATACAAATGTTTGTTTTAATTTTTGTTACGATTTTAGACAGACATTTGATACTTTTATGTGTTTCTTCTTTTATAGGGACCTTATGAGGCAGTTCCCAAAATTGCCATTTTCAATGTGATTTGGAAAGTGATAAGTTTTCTAGTAATTTGGCAATTGAGTAAACTAACACAAGCAAATATACTAGATTTACCAGAGTTTTTCATGAACAAAACAATAATCAGTATATTGTGTTTACTACGATAACATAACAGTGAATATCAACGAACTCATGTATTACATTTTACTTGTGCATATGGTAGTTTTGTATGAAGTGTCAGTGTGGCCATGTGTCACCAAACAACATGTAAAATAGTTTTGTCCATGACAGATGACAAGTTAAATGCAGCTGGTGGAATATATTACATCCCTACTGTATTTTTATGTTTATAGCTTCCACCGTTGGTGCTGTACATGTTGGCCTATTTGAAAAGAAAGTCTAAAAGATATTTCCTTTTAAATGAATTCAAAATGAAATTAAACATTATTAATCTACAAAATAAATAAAAATTTTGTCGTAATTTCTTACAATTTGACAAGTTATACAAAAATAAACTATTAAGTTTTAATTACTAACAGGATTTAAATCATAGTCACTTAATATATATATATATTGGGGAAATAAACAAAGTTTATCGTTGACTGTACGTACACCTTAGGACTAACCAGCTATGACCAAGGCTACTGGCCAAGAAACCGGTTATCAAATAGTTTTACGAACCGAACACTCATTTTCCTTTGTTACAAAATCATTAAACATAACATGCTATAGTAAACCTAATTCACCTAGATGTAAAAGGGTGCACCAAAAAAACCTCACGGTTTTTGTTTTGCAATAAGTCATCTGTTATGAAAGTTACTGTCTAGTGTGGTGCATCGATGTATATATAAATTGTGGTGTGGCACGGTTTGGAGTCATCGGACCATATGTTTTTGAGGACGAAAGGGGGAACACCGCCACTGTAAACTCGAAATGCTATGTGGAAATGCTGAGGGGGTTTTTGGTTCCACAACTGCAAATGTTAGGATGTGTTGATCATAGAATAGAATAGAATAGAAACGTCTTCTATTTTAAGCGGTTTTCAGTACAAAAGACATGACCAACACATGGTTAGCAAACTAGTACTATGCATGTCTTGAAAGTATCCAAAATGGGCAGTCCTATGAATTGCCTCAAAATATAAAAAAATTAAAAGAACAGTTTTTAATGTATTTCTTATGGAAAACATGTTCATTTTTAATTTTCACGATAAATCATAACAAAAACAAACTTTCTTAATAATTTGTAAATCGACATGAAATAAACTTATCAACCACCCATTAATTTAATAAAATAGGTCCAGTAGAACTGTAGATTTAGTTGCACAAAGTTTAACAACAATATCTCTAATTCAGCATTTTCTCGCCACTATAATTTGGAGGTTTCTTAGCTTTTTTGCAAATAACTTTTAAATGGTGAGGAAATCAACCAAATTGAAAACTGATTTCTGAAAGAGATTAAAATTTCCTACAAATTACTATCATGCGTTTCTTAAAAATAGTCAATAAATAAAGGCTGCCTCTTAAGTTGGCTACAAATAGAAACTTGTAAATAGCAACTTAAAAAAAAAAACAGTTTTTAGTGTATTCTCGGTTTTTCTTTTTACCTCAAATATTAAATAAAAACCAATTTTCATAATTATTTGCAAATCTATACAAATTAGGCTTTCCAACGACCCTTTCATCAACTAAATCAGTCCAGTAGAATTTTAGATTTATTTGTACAATGTTTAACGAAAATATCTCTAATTCGGTATTTTCTGACATTTATAAATTTAGAATTGCTTGGCTTATTTGGCAATAATTTTAAATATGGTATCATTGATTGCAGAAACTCTGGCCGGAAGTACGTGGTGGTACTGTAGTAGAATCAGTAAGAAAATGGGTTGGCTCACTGACAATAATTGTCAGTTTGTATTATTAATAACTCATAATAATAATAATAATAATATAACAATAGTAATTATTAATAACTCATGATAAAGTATGTTGATAAACTTAAATAAATAGATATTTGTATTCACCCTAGAAATATATCATTGTCACGAATTTTGGTCAATATGTATGTATATAGTATGTAAACTGTTTGAACCTAAATAGACAATGTGTAAAAATACGGTGCTTCGACATGAATAAATTTGTATGCTCAAACTCAAAATTTTATTAAGTTATAAATTAGTATTGTTAACATAAAATTAAATCACTTTGGTAGGTTTTCAAACGGGTTCCAGTCTGAAATTTAACCACATGGTATGAAGAAGCAATATCATTTGTTCATTTCTATTTGCATAGTAGCAACCTTTTTTTTTGTAATTCTGCTATCCATGGTTGTTTGTACTCATTTTTGGAATCTCATGGCCTGGGCTATCGTGTCAAAATCATGAGTAAATAATTTGTAACAATCAAATTCTTGCAAAGACATATTGTTCTTTGTATATTCTGTTAAAATATATAAATATTATTTTGCAAGGATTTAAATTGATATTATAGATAACCTCTATTTTTAAATGTTGTTATAATGCTACCAAAACTGCTTGGTATACATTCCTAACTTTCTAAGCAAGAGTTCCTGTTAAACAAAGATCTAGGCCACAACAGCAAAGCATCCTGCAACATTTTTTTAAAATTTATCCTATAATCTAATACGAGCAATGTTTGCTTGTATGTATGTATGTATGTATGCTTGATTGCTTGCTTGCTTGCAGAAAGATCTCAAAAATGGGTCCGACGATTTTCTTCAAATGCTGTAAATATTTTATTTTTGGCCTAAAAACGAGTTTACTGCACTTAGAACTGCCAACAAAAATCTAACTATAGTTCGGCCGCTTAGAAAACGACCTGCGCGCTAATGCTAAACCGTAGAAAAATAAAACTGAAAGTCACATTTTTTTACATTAGTCTTATGGGTTGCTAAGTAACCATGTTGGTTGAATATGATAAACAATATCAAAACAATATCAAATAATCAACATAAAAAAATATCATAACAAGGAAAAAGTAAACAAAAGACTTGTTAGTTGTAACACATGTGTTCATAAAGGCATCTACCCACAGTATACTAGAAATTACAAAATACAGTACAAAAGCAAAAACATCACTTGTTACTACTGAGCAATGATTATACTGAAGCTTACTCGATACATTGTAGTAAAGGCTAACAATTAGCATTGCGGAGTGACTAGCGGCTAGTCCCTGCCCACCAAATCTGTTCGGGAGCGTAACTTCTACCACAGCCACCTCTAATACACTTCTACCCTTCCTCCAGCCCAGCTGTTATTTGGAGGCTTCTAATTGGCTGAGGGAACACCTTTACCGCAACGATACAGCATGATGCAATCGGCCTCGGAGGTAGCCTATAGTGGATAGCGTGCAGAGCTTATGAACTGATAGAGCCGGGTTCGAATCTCACCCATGGCATTATTTTTTTGTCTCGGATTTTTTCATAATCAGCAAGTTTGGTTGGTTTGGTTAGGTTATAACAGTTTAATTTTATAATTAAAACATTATAAAATTGAATTTGAACCAATTATATTTTTATTTTATGAACAGAACTATTTTTTCGATTAAGTCTTAATTCGATTTTTCATTATCAGCAAGTCTGGTTAGTTTGGTTAGGTTATGACAGTTTAATTTTATACTTAAAAATTAAAAATTGAATTTGAGGCATTTATAATTTTATTTTTATTTTATATTTTTAATTTTATTAATGAAAAGAACTATTTTTTCGATTAATAAACCTTTATTGGATTTTTTCATTATCAGCACGTTTGGTTGGTTTGGTTAGGTTATGACAGTTTAATTTCATAAAATTAATTTTATTTTATGAACAAAACTAATTTTTCAATTAGTAAACCTTCATTATAGTCAATCAGAAGCCTCCAAATGACACTGTTGGCAAAACTAAACACGACATCTACAGAAAACCAGACCGAACTAACAATAAAAGTGGCTTTAGCTGTTCCATAAGGATGGTAAGGTATCTGTAATCCTAAAATGCTATGGGAAGGTAAGGAAACAGGTCCGTGACGTAGGAAGTGGTAAAAGAAATAGTAAGGGTGAGCGGTCTGGAGTGTGGGAACTGTTTATGAGGATTAGATTAAGGTATCTACAATCCTAAAATGCTATGGGAAGGGAGGGAAACAGGTCCGTGACGTAGGAAGTGGTGAAGGAAGTAGTAAAGGTGAGTA